CCTCTACCCTTCCCAGCGCTGCCACCACATGCCCCGTGCAGCTGAGCCTGCCCACCCCAAGCACAACCCAGGCCTAACCCCAGCCCCCCTGCCAGGAAGTGTCATATTGCCTGGCCCCAAGTCCACAGCAGGCAACTCACCTGCACGAAAATCCAGGGGGCACATGCCCCCCATACCACCCCTGCAGGATGCAGGCAGCGGTGGGGAGCCCCCTGCCCCTCAACCTACGCCCCTCTGGACGAGCTGCCCACAGCTTCATCCGTGGGGTTGCATTCACTGCTGTGGCTGGGCATCTCCTACCCCGCTCACCCCCTCACTGTTGGGGCTTTCATCTCTGTGTGCGTCTGTTCCCCCCAACCATTAGACTTACCAGCAGGGTACTGACTGCCAGGCTGTGCTCCTGGCCATGTGTGCAGAAGCACCTTTAATATTGCAGGTTCCCCTGTGCGCATCCCCCCATAACACCCTTGTTGCTGATTGGTGGAGGTGCTGTGCTTGAGGCTCATTCCTCATCAACAGGGAAGCAAAAACCACAATTTTAAACCCAGCATCGTTTTTGTCTCCCCACTGCTGATTTGTTGAAAGGCCCTGGCAGCCCTGCTGCTTGGAGCCAACGAGCAAAGAGCCAAAAATGGCATCATGTTTATAACGGTGGCTTTTGCTTCCCTGCTGAAGAGCGATCCACAAGCGAAGCCTCTAGTTGGCTTGGGGCCACTGAGGACAGGTCCCATTGGACCTTGCATTAATCTACCTATGGCAGGCAGCACCCCATTTCAAAAATGAATTTATTACTGAATTATTACAATTACTAATAAAACTGATTTATTAGTGTTTACCCCCTTGCAGAGGGCCAGGTAGTGGAGATTGGGGGTGGGGACAGCCAGGCAGGGACTGAGCCAGCATGCATCTATTTATCTTCTTGTACCTCGAGGCACTGTGGTTCAGAATCATTGTATTAGAGGACATAAGCATGTGAATCAGGGTAATCTGGCTGGTACAGCATATGTGGAATTTCAAAAAGCTGTTCCACACCAAAATTAAGTTTTCAACATTAGAGGCAAGATCCACTCCAGGATCAATAACTGGCTAAAAGATGTGTACAAATGATCAATTCTCACCATGAACAGATGTAAACAGTGGGGTCTTGTGGCTGGGGCCTCTGCTCTTCAACATGAAAACCGATGTTGGTAAGTGTGAAGTGATTCGTGGGGTCTGGGAACAACCCCAGGTGCCCACAAATGATAATGAGCTGTTATTACCCAGGAAAGGTATCCTTGAGTTACTGTGGATCATTCTTGAAAAGCAGCATCAAAAAGGCAAATAGAATGTTAGGAATCATTAAAGGAATTGAAAACGAACTATAGACAATGTTGTTATGCTACTGTATACATCCATGGTACACTCGCATCTTCACAGCTTTACAGAAGATTAGAGCTGGAAGGGACCTCATGAGATCATTGGGTCCAGCCCCGCCCTGCTCTGGGCAGTCTTCCCAGGACTTGATCTACTTGGAGCAGGAGCAGAATGTAGGAACTGAAAGGTAGAGTAAAGATGAATATGGTAGAAATTAGGTATTAGAAACTTTGTGAATTAGCTATGCATTTTACACTGGTTTCAGTCAAAGGACATGCATGTGTAACAGGGACCTGTAACTATGGTTACTTTTAACCAGTAATGGCCTACAAGCATAACCACAATAATTCCTTTCTTAAACTAATTGCAAGGGTAAGCCTAGCATTAACAACGATAGTATCATATATTAAGTATCCCAGAAAGTGGTACAGAAGCAGAGGATGCAGTCATTTGTGCCAAGGCTCTTTCACAAGCCGTACCACTTATAGCCAGTGAGTAGTTTCACGCCAGCTAATGTAGGCATTGTATTAACAACCATCCAAAACTAAGATTTTTTCAGGAGGTATTTGCTACCTAGTGGGATGGTGTTGCGTTCCACTGAGTTCACTGGTCCTTCAGCACAAATAAGTCTGTGTTTATTCCCTGTTACACTGTACAGTGGAATGGAGAACAAAGTCCATTGAGGCATTTGTAACAAAAATGCAGGCTTAAGCTGTAAATTAATTATATAAGCTTGTTCTGTACCATTTAGTAGTGTATTTCTGCTATTCACAGATTTCTGAACCAAATGAGTTTGATATCATGCTTAAGGTGCCAATTCCAAGAGTACAGCTGGATGAATGTGATGCCACTGGTGCCTTTCATTACGTGTCTTTTAAAAGACATCCTCAGAGACACCTGGACAAATTTTTAGAAGATGATGGAAAATTATCAGCAAATGCCATGCTTTTATTGGTGAGGAATATTATTAAAAAAGAAGTAAAGAACATAACAAGTAAGTATGCAGCAGATTACATTTTAATTTAGGGATGTTATTGAAAATAGTGTTGTGCATGTATTATTTTTAGCTTGTTTTCTTGTCTGCAGATATCTGGGCAAAAATATGAGAAATCTACAAATATCTAAGCTGGTCCTTATCACAAGGGACAAACAACCTAGTGCTAGGTTTCATAGTTTCTAATGTTGGAAGGGACCTGAGCAGATCATTGAGTTCGACCCCCTGCCAT